CTGTGACCCCGAGTTCGATTCCCGTCTTGAGGGGGGAACGCCGGTGGCGAGTGACGTCCGAACAAACCCTCGGCCTCCTCGAGGTCGCTTTAAAAATGTGACACGTGGTGCAGTGTGCAATGTAAACATGAGGTTTTATGAGGCCACACCCTGCGCTGATGATACTTAGTGAAGCTGATACCACAATCGTCTCGCACGGACGATCTTTATTTGGAAAAAAAAAATGTTTTTACACATAAACCCAGAAGAGTGGCCGGACAGAGGTTTACGGTATTTACGTATTTCACAACAGTGACGAAACGAAGCCTGCCCACTTGCTCCCGTGGCTATCGCTTGGGCTAGGGGGGAGTATGTCCGTCGATGAATCTCCGATGTAAATATATACGTTACCCCCCCCCGCCTCTTAATTTCCCCCCTTCACCGCTCTCTGGCTCGGGTACGGCAACCCAAGTAGCTTCACAGCGACTGGGAAAAAAAATGACAGTGCAGCCTGTAAAAAAACAACTACTGGGTGGTGTTTCGGGCAATGGCCTGTACGGAAGCCCTGTAGCCGACTGACCAGAGTCATTTAGCAGTTTTCGTGTGTTCAGTCGCGACATCAAACGACTCGACAAGCCATCGTGTCGTTGCGCACCGAGGAGAAAATAATAATTTTTTTTAAAAAGTGCTGGAAAAGGAACCCGTCGGAAACTTGTCGAGGCTTGTTCGTGCAGGAAATGCAAGGGAAACTGCAAAAGCGTGTTCGATTTGGTATTTTGGAATTTTGCTTTAATGACTTCCCCGGGGGATGCCCTAACAATTAACTGCCTTGTACGTTTCAGGTACAACTGCGTTTTGTAAAATAAATAAATAAACGCCTTGACTTCGCGTCCCAATAATACTGCGATTGTTCCCGAAGCGCTGGTTTTCATTATGTTATATTTTTTTGCGGCATCGTTTCCTTACGTGCGTGTTCGGAATTTTTGTGTTCTCGCTAATTCGGTAAATCCGCTATTGATGTTACGTGTATGCGATTTTAAAAGCGTTATTGATTTCAACTGTGCTATGACTCCCGAGCCATTGCCAACCCACACTGCGACCAGCTTGGTGAAGTATGGTCAAATAACCTTGCTCAACACCCCCACCACCTGAGAACCCACACGGGCGTAGGGGAGGCACTCATCCAGCGACAGATTGATAAAAGGGCTGTACGTATGTTAATTGTCACAAAATGCATGAACAGAAGGGTTACTGTGCTAGATTTGAGGCTTTCGTGACTGCAAGGATTCATACTCTTTGTTTTTTTCGGTAAAGTCATGTAGGTAAAATAAAAAATAATATAATAATAAAACAACTCAATTAAATCACGACCTTTCGGAGGCAACACAAGCTTCCGTCTTCAGGTGGAACAGTCACAGCAAGATAGCTGCAGCTAGTTAGTAACTCTAAAACTACAACTGCAGCTATCTTGCTGTGACTGTTCCACCTGAAGACGGAAGCTTGTGTTGCCTCCGAAACGTCGTGATGTAATTTAGTTGTTTTATTATTCTTTTATTTTTATTTTACCTACGTGACTTTACCGAAAAAACCAAAGAGTATGGTTACTCTGCTGTTGAAGTATTCATCCCCATCCACTGCTTAGCCCCACGCTTAAGTCATTCGTTTAGTATGTACTCTGCTCGCTATTCATCGCCTTCCGCTTAGCACCGTCTTACCGGCTACACAGGAAGGCGGTCACAGACACACACAGGGGCGCAACCATCCTACGTAGCTGGTAAAATAAAAACAAAATTGTTTAGTTGTAGTTTTAGAGTTACTAACACAACGACAAACACGTATCTCTTCATACGTCAGTAGTAGTTTAACGTTAGGATACGCGTACAATGCAGTCATGGTGACGTTGAAAGGGATGAATATGCACACATCTTTTTCTCTAAAATCAGCTCAAGCATCCAGTAAATCACGTTACCTCAACGTAGCCACACCCACTCACGAACTCCTCCCCCTTTCCCTGCCACCCACTGTGAAAGCAGACGCTGCTCCTCCGTGTGGCAGCGTCCAGGCCCTCATGCAGCCTCTCCCTCACCATTCTCATATTTTCTGAGCCTTTTTTCCCGTTCATTTTTTTCATTCCTTTACCTCTTGTTTACTTCTTGTTACTTTACCGCTTCCTTTTCCATCCTTTCTCTTCTCTCCCTTTCACGTTTCTTTTCTTTTTCCATACATTCTATCCTTGAAGTTTACTCTCCTGCCCCGTCGTGTGCCCATGGATGTTAACAACATGTGAAAACTGTCATAATTCAGCCGACCGCGTCTCGAGTGAGTATGCTCGGCCAAATGATCACTCCATAAAATGTTTTTGTATGCTTTCCAGGTCCTGGTAATGCTCTCTCAAGGTCAGGCCATACTCTCAAAAAAAACACCAACTTGCACTTCCACAAGTGGATATTTATTGCAAACTGTCGGTGAATTGCCCATCATTGTATTACTTTTGGTTTCCCCAGATTTAATTGGATTAAATACGAACAACTTCGAAATAAATGAAAGATTCGTGCGCGATGATCACAGGCCAAAGGGAGCTGCATTGTACAGAACTGTTGCTGCGCATTAATGGCGCAGCTTCGGCTCTTGCGTTTTGGGACCTGAGCAAGAGACAAGGCGACGGAATTTGTGCATGCGCACGCATGAGCACGCACACGCGCGCGGAGGCCGTGCGTGCGTGCGCGTGTTCGTGCGTGTCGCTCTCTAGGCCCCCGACGTAACGGCAAAGCCCCGGCGTGACAAGCCGAGCCTCGGATGACGGCCGGGAGTTTCGACACGTGTTTGTGCAATCCCGCCTTCGTTAGCCGGGCCTTCGCTTTCCAAACAGGGTTCTTGGTTTCTGGTTTCCGCTCGGCACATTTTCTTCTCGCCGACGGCTTTCCAACAAAAATGTTTTGCTCGTGTCCCTGGCACAAAGCGCGGTTTGTGGAGCTCGAGGAGCCCTTATGGAGCGCGCGAGGAAGTTCCTTGAGGCTTGATGTCGATGTTTTGACAACTGCCTCGGTAAGAGTTGAAGCATTTAACCAACTGCCCGAGTCCTGGCTCGCGGAGCCACTTGCCCCCGCACGGACGGCACACTCGCTGCGGGTCAATCAAGCTCCACGTGCACGGCCAGGTGAGAGCATCCTTCAGAAAAAAAAATTACAAAAAAAATAACAACCCGACTTAAAAAAAAAGTAAAAATGTCGGTCTCTTCAGACCCGCGCAAGCATTGGGCGGCGCTCTTTAAGATCCCTTGGCAGTCCTGAAGTTCAACGTTCCTGTGGCAAGAGTCTTTTGAATGTAATCAATAATAATTTAATAGTCTTACTGCCGTTTGTAAAGCAGCCACCGGATGAAGGCCGGTCCCCTCGACGCTGTGTCGGTCATGGGGTTTGTTTTTAACAAATCCTCACCACGCTGGTCGGTGCGGGTTTGGTGAAGGAGTGGTGGTGGTGGGGGGGGGGGGGATGCGGTGAAATGCAGAACTGGTTGGGATTTCTATTCGCTCGTCGCTGATGATAGCCGTGGCCGAGGTTGGAACTCTGTTCGCCAGGATTTCTTGGCGCAGTGTGCTAACTACTCTGCCCCGTTGCTTCACATCACCCCCCCCATATCTTTTACAGAGGTGAAATAAATCAGTGTCATCAGAAACTGGCATGCATTGGGTAGTGCTCATATCAGCTGTTGCTGGTCCCCTTAGCCATCGGTGGAAATTCAACGTTGCTATGACAGGGACCAGTGAAACCAGTCTATTGCAGATAAAGTTAGAGTAGAAATGCACCGAGATGAGGAAATCGATTAATTCCTCTAATATCACGTGTTAAATGTGTTATTGTTGAGTCGTGCAGAAAGAACAGGGATTTTTTTTGAGTTTTGTAATGAGAGGGCATTAATCAAAGTTACACCTGACAGGTTATCGCGTTCCTAAACAAAAACCAAAGCGCATTGTGCCCCTGAAGTCGCACCCAAAGAAACCCGCATATACTCTCTAGCGTTTCCTTCCAGAGTGCGTGTGTGTATATATCATCGAGTGTGTGTCAGATTGGGTACGTGCACACACGTGCACGTGGGGAGTGTGTGTTTTGTGTGTGAATATGTCTGTATGTAGGTGGGGAGCGGTGGCGCAGCGGTCGGCGTGCTCCGCTACGAGCCCGGCGACCCGAGTTAGATGCCCGCTCACGACCACCAACACCTGTGACTATTATCTGAACCGGTCCTGGGCCTCCGCTAGGTTGACTCAGCCTCAAATGAGCAATTGGTGCGGTGTGTAAACACCGCCACTGGGGGGACAAATGCAGCCGGGTGTGGTGCTGGCCACCCGCCCCCTCGTGTGCCGTGCCGGCCTTCGTAGGTGCTCGTGAACGGCACTTGACCTAACAGCCTATTAAGCCTATTCGAGACATCTTTGTCTTCGCGTAGATATGAAGATGTACGTGCGAGTGCACGTACTTAGTCTGTGCATAATTCAGCACCACCATCAGCAGCTATGATCTCCCCACTGCTGAATGAGGACCTCCCCAATCCGTCGCCGTGTCCCACGGTCTCGCGATGCAGCAATCCGTCGAGCGCTTGCACGTGACGGACCGCTCTCATTGCTCCCATCGCGGGGCATGTCCCCTCCTTTGGTTGTCACTCCATCGTCGGTCTCGACCGCCGGCCATCGCCCCTTCCCGGTGACACCGCCCTCTGAAGCCCGCCGCTTATTTTCGTAACGGTCAATGTGATGTCTCTCAATCCCACATGTCCGTCTTGTGTCTAATTGCGAACGTGCCACTTTGCGCACATTTCACCCCCTTCGTTTCCGTGTTTTTTTTCTTTGTCAACGTGTTGTGTGTCTGATCCGCATTGTCCGTGTGTTGCAGCGGATAACGTTTACCGATTACGCCGTTGATCCCCTATGCCCGTAGTGGCACGCCGCTCTTCACTATCAAGCTCCGTTTGCAGCGTAAAACAAAACGCTAAAACGGCGGCGTTATCTCTCTCGCCCATCGTGCCAGGTGACGTTCACGAAGCGTAAGTTCGGGCTGATGAAGAAGGCCTACGAGCTGAGCGTGCTGTGCGACTGCGAGATCGCGCTGATCATCTTCAACAGCGCCAACAAGCTCTTCCAGTACGCGAGCACCGACATGGACAAGGTGCTGCTCAAGTACACCGAGTACAACGAGCCGCACGAGAGCCGCACCAACTCCGACATTATCGAGGTGCGTCCGCTCAGCCGGCGCGGGGGGCACGCGCAAGCTGCTAACTGCCCCCCCCCCCCCCCCCCCACCATTCCTACGACCCCCCCACTGCCCCTCAACCCCAGTGATCCTTGCCGACGACGATTCTTGCGCTCACGCTTGCTGAACAAGCGTCGTCGCGCTGCTTCACGGAGAGAGAGAGCGGAATTCACTCAAAATGTCAGCGGCCGCGCTTATGCGTGGGACAAAGGACAAGTGCGCGTACGTGTGTGTGTGTGTGTGTGTTTGTGCACGTGCGTGGGTGCACGCGCGCGCGTGCCTGCGTCTGCGCGTCGTGTGCCCGAGCGAGCAGCTGCATCGACGAGCGGAGGACAAGGAGCCGGGGTGATTGGTTCGTTCTGCCACCGCTAGAGCTCGCGCCTGCAGAGGGATGGGAGGGGGCTCTCCTCTGTACGGGGGAGGGAGAGAAGGGGGTAGCGCATCGGCAGGAGGAGAGATGAAAAGGGACGAGGGAAATCTGAGGGGTGGCGGTGGTGGGGGGCGGGTATGCGGTGGCAGAGGCCGCGTCTTCACTTTGTAGGGAGGGCACTTCTCACAATCGTGACGGTGGTGGCACGTGCGTGCCTGCACGTGCGTTTGTGCGCGCATGCAGACGGGAGCGGCTGAGAGAGAGGGGCTGGTGGTGACCTCTTGAGTGTAGGTGTGGGGGGGGGGGATTTTGAGGCTAATCCGATGTGTGTACCCGCCGTGTCTATCTCTTCTAACCCCAGCTTTAGTGCTAATACGAGCTCGGAAGGGCACCTTAAGTGGGAAGGTGAGCGGCAGCGTCAATGGTGGTGGGGGGGGGGGGGTGGGGAGCGTCTTTATTTTTCTTACCAAACGGTCTGTGACGTTCGCTGGTCAATCTCAATCACAACTTGACCAGGGTCGGTTCCAGGAAAGCCGCAGTCATTCCCGTCCCGGGTTTCATGTCATTTATTTCACCGCAGGTAGATGATGAGGCCTTGACGTTCGTCGACGTGTCGAGGGCGCGTTGAGTGAACTGCAAGGATGTTCTGCACCGCCGAGAAGTTGCGATTCTATGGCTCGAGCATTAGCGTTGTTTAGCCAGTTGTTTCTTCAGCATTTATATTTAAAATTCGGGGTGCCCCAAGAAATTACATCATGCAGAAAAACCCGCATTCGTTAATACGATAACCAACGCAGCCGAACAACCGCGTAAATAAACATTTTGACTGAGCTATTGACGTCAAAGGAAGAAACTAAATTTAAAAAATCCAATACGTGACCGGTCAAACCATATCCATTCTGGCCCGACTGGCCCATTTAATGTTTCCCCGACACGAACGCGCGGTCCACGCATTCGGAGGGCAAGAAAAAAACCTTTACGTGGGTGCCATATCATAAGCACGAGCCACATTCTCCCCTGGAATTAATAACGCCAGTTTCCTCCCCCTTTTTAAATGTCTCCCTCGGATTTTTTTTTTCCAACAGGCAACGCTGTTGTGCGCATTCCACTGATAAATGCTTCCCTCCACGTGGCCGTGCTAATTAAAGCCTGCTGGGCAGCTGCGGGGGCCCCCCCCCCCCCCCCGCTCCCGCTGTAAAATTGCTTCTTGGTCGCGTGTCACATTTCAAACGCGGCCGCGAGTGGCGCGGGAGTGTTCGGAGCCTCTGCCGTAATTGTGGTACGAGGCGTAAGGCCTCGCCGTGCCAACGCGCTTGTGTTTTTCGTGTGTTCCCTTGCCTCTGCTTGTGCTCTTCGCGTACTCCCGTGTATTTGCGTGGGGTTTACGTGTGTGCGTAGGGATTGGAGCGGTGGGAGTAGCAAGTGGTTAGCGCGGTTACCCCCGCCTACGAACAACCCCTGCGAATCCAGTTTTATTCGTGCCCACGGCTGTGACAAACGTAGGGCCCGAGTGATCCGTTTCTCAACCGGTCCCGGGTCTCCCATCCAAGTCATCTCGGCCCCCACAATGAGTACCTGGTGTGGTGTGAAAGCATCGCGGCTGGGAAGACCGGGGGATGTGTGGTGCTGGCTACGCTGTCCCCTCGTTCGCTGCGTTGGTCTTGTTAGGTGCTCACTCACAGCTCCTTGCCCCCAATGGTCTGTGTGGCCATGGTGAGAAATATTTGTTTGCATGTCTATAGAATGTAAGCAGCCAGGTCTCGAGGTCACTGTGGCTGAATGCTGTTGATGCCACATCACACTTGCCATTTGATACATATATTCTGCTTGGTCATGTAAATGCTAAGCAATTGGCAGGTGCCCTCCAAGTTCCGCCCTTACAAGTCTCAATCCATCATATGGTTCCGTTAGGTCGTGCAAAAAAACAACCAACGACCAATACTACCTCAATTTTCTCCACCACAGTTTCCGTCAACACCACCACCGTCAGAACTTTTACCACCACCTCTGCCAAAGAAGAATCCATTCAGAAATGACAGAAAGCATCAGGTGATGTGGCAAAAGAATAGTTCATGCAAGCCTTACACATTAAAATTAGTTTCAAAAATGTTTTTCACCGGGAGACCAATTCGCTACACTTGAGCACCCACTTTAATCATAGGCGTCTGAAAACCCAGACGCGGACACAGGCAGCAACTCGGCACTCTAGCCTCTGACCCCTGACCCACCCAGCCACCTCTATGTCATTAGTTAAAAAAGTAACTCTGAGACAACACAGACCTTATCACGAAACAACCACCACTTCAGTAGCCCTGCGCAGCAAAAACACCATGGTTAAATCCCCCCCGAGATCTTCTCATTAAACTGTCCCCAAGTCTCAAGTCTTTTGAGCATGTAAGTGATTCAAACCCTCCTCCGTGCTCTCTATGCCGGCGAGCAGCTCCGCACAGAGCCCTCCGCACTGAGCCCTCCGCATTGTCGAGAGTCAGACACGTGGTCGGGGATCTCTGAAGGCCTGTTTGGAGATAAACCCATTCCTGGCTGAGCTGATTGGTCATCGTGGTCCAAGGAAGCATTTGCGCTTAGGCACGAGGGCCCCGTAATCTCCTTAAATTGGAACAGCACACAAACGTCGCTGCAAGTTGCTCCGGGCTTTCTGCGCACGCCATGTCAACTTTACCTTTCCCGTCTCGTGCATCGTCGCAAGATTAGACGAATGACTTGGGACGGGCAGGGTTCATTCTTCATTTTCTTACATTGTTACTTATTTTGGGGGCAAGGTGGATGAGGTCTGCAACGGGTGGGGGGGGGGGGAAGCGAAATGTAATTAATGTGAAAGCATTCTATTTAGCATCGTACAAAAAAATCAACGCCAACGCCGTTTCAAGCTTTGTTGTTTTCCATCTGCTGCATCGAAAGCTGCACTTGAAAGTTGTTTCTTGTTTTAAATCTGCTCTGCGGCCTCTGCCAAAAGAGTGATGCGTTTTCTTTCAAGTGTTTAAAACTGTAGGCAGAACAAACCTATTTAAAGAGATAAAAACACTTAGGGTTCATTTTATCAGCCAATATTTTTTTTTGCAGGTGGGAGGGGTGCTGGGGGGGACAGGGACGTAGCCAAGGTCCTATCAAGCGTCGTCGTCATCAGCAGCCGTAATCAATCCACTGCTGGACGAATGCCTCCCAAGATTGCCACCATCTGCTCAGGGTCTCGCGATGCCACAATCCAGGCTCATTGGCCTATCAAACGGCGTCATTAAAAAGATTTGTTCCGCACGTCACGCGCCTTGGCAAATCCACTTTGCTGCCCAACTTAATCTATATTTTTCCTTTGTTTTTCGTCGCCGGAAGGACGTATACAGCGCGCGCGCGCGTGCGTTAAGGCTCGGAATTTTTATAGGTCGTGTAACAAGTAATGGTTCGCGTGGGAGTCCTGCAGGATTGTGGCATCCGATGACGAGAAAAAATACTTAGTCTCATTTCGCCCCGTGCAAGAACTGCCCTATTATGTAATTGTTTGCCAAAACGCGGCGATCAATAGCGTTCTTTCATCCCCCCCCACCACCGCTGCTGAATTTTTTTAAACGCGGGGATTCGGTGCAGGACCGGCGTAGCCGTCGACTAAAAATAGCTGCGGCTGTGCGGCTAAAAATAGCACGGCCCAGACGGGGCGGAAACATACGGAATAACAGCGGGGGGGCGGGGGGGGGGGCACGCGCTCCGCATAACCCTGGATACCGTGGATCGGGATGCCTTGAAGGAGACGGAGCAGAGAAATCTGCCGCAAGCCCCTCCTGGTGATGGATGGACGGGGGGGGGGGGCGGTGGTGAGGGCTATGAAATGGCGTCGCTTGTCTTGTGCCAGGCCGCCGACCGTCCCTGCGGGAACTCCCCTCGTCGACTATTTTTTTTTTGCCAAGCCGTTGGCGACCCCCCTCCCCCATCCTTGCCGTGACCCTGATTGTGTTGCAGGAAGCCTGGGCCGCGTGTACGATTTCGGTGCCGGGGATAAAGGGGGGGTAGCGTTCTGGCCGCCGGGTGGTTTCGGTGGGGGGTGGAGAAGGTGGGGTTAGATTCCGGGTGAGGGCTGTGCTTTGAGTTTTTTTGCCGTTGCATTTTGTGGCTGAAATTGGGCGGCGTTGTTCAGCTGTTCGAACGGACGGAGTGCAAATACGTTGGTGGAAGACCACCGTAATTATCATCACCGGGGGTTGATCCATAATCGTGTCGGTGACCGAGAATGTATTTCCGCACGCCACGTCCAGTATACCCCGCGCTTTGGTTGTGGCGACTAGTCATGTGCCACCTCCCCTGTCTAACAGAAATCCCTCCTCATTAGCCACGATAAACCCACTGCTGGGTAAAGGTCTCTCAAACGGCACTGGCGTCTCTTGCGGTCACACGGTGAGCGGTCAATTGGTAGTGCACCCTGAAGACTGTGTATGTCCTGTATGTTGATCTTCTTTCGCACCGTACCCAACGTAGCCAACGTGCTAATAATAGGAGGTGCGCAGTGGAAGAAATGCGTAAAAAATATACGTTTTGGAGTAATCGCTACGTGGACCCGCAGAGGCAAACAAAAAAATTCTAAGCCCCTCCAATGCTGGGCGGACTC